AACTTACACATTTTAGAGGAAAGATCATATTCTCTCCCCCCCCCCCCACCCCAAAAGCAAAAACCTCAACAGACAGAACCTAGAACAAAAGGCCCTGCTGGTCGAGCGGAAAAAAAATGGACAGAGCAGGAAGAAATCACTTACCCACGCTAAACATCAAGCCACTGGACTTGGTTGGAATTCTTCAGTGAGATGAGAACTGTATTCATGGGTCTTGTTACACATCCCCCTTTGCAGTTAGCTTCTGTAGTTAACGCACCCTTTGCACTAAGCCTACCGTTGCCAGCTGTTTGCTTTCAGTCCTTGTGAATAAGTACAGGTCGAGGAAAATATGGAGGGGCAGTAGCTAATCAAAGTCTAAACCATCCAGCTCAGGCGAGAATGAGAACCCACGGAGCTAAGTCATGGAAAGATAGCCCATCACTCCTATACTTTACCTGACGATGACCCCAGGTCGGAGATCAAAGTTCTTCTTGACAATCTCCAGAAGCTCTCTCTCACTCTTCTGGGAAGTCCCATAGTGGAAAATGGAGATTGACAGCGGATGCGACACTCCAATTGCGTACGAGACCTACATTGTAAATAGAGCAGCGCTTTTCGTTAAGCAAGGGGAGGAAACGGATCAAGAGTTCATGCATTGTCACACAAAGAGGCGATATTCTCAGGTTCTGGTCTTCATGCTTTGTAAACAATTTATACTTTAAACCAGATTGTTTTTGCCTGACGTACACTGCTAAATCTCAGTTTTTTGCTGCATGTGCAATAATATAAGAAGGTAGAGTAATATTCGAGATTGGGGTTGTAATAACGCGAAACATCAAGACGTCGATACTTCAAAAGTCACATGCATTCCTTTCTAAATATTTGGAGCTTGTTAGCCAGACCCAGAAGTGTTACGCCTGCTGGTCAGGAGTGCATGCAGCAGGCTGCAGGCCGGGGTAGCCCGTTAAGAAACCTCACCTGGACCAGAACCCGCTTGCACAGCTCAGCCTTGACCAGGGACTTGGCCACCCAGCGAGCGGCGTAGGCAGCTGACCGGTCCACTTTGGTGTAGTCCTTCCCGGAGAAGGCGCCGCCTCCGTGCGCGCCCCAGCCCCCGTAGGTGTCCACAATGATCTTCCGGCCAGTGAGACCAGCATCGCCCTGCAGACCAGAGGGGAGCCCGTTCAGTCAGAGCACAGGGGACGCCCTGGGGGATCTCTGCCGGGCGAAGGACTAGGCCCTGACCGATCGGAACGCTGGACTCACCTGCGGGCCCCCGATGACGAAGCGGCCGCTGGGCTGCAGGTGGTAGATGGTGTCGTCGTCCAGGTAGACGGAGGGCACCACAGCCCTGACCACCTTCTCCTTCAGCGCGTCCCTCATCTCGTCCAGGTGCACGTCCTCATCGTGCTGCACGGAGACCACGATGGTGTGGACCCTCACCGGGATCACAGCCCCACGGTCCTGACGGTACTGCACAGTCACCTACAGGGAGGGGGCACAACATCGTAAACAGAGCAGCACTTCCCACAGAGATCAAGAGTTCACTCACTGTCTCGGTCACACAAAGAGGCAATATTCTCAGGTTCTGGTCTTCGTGCCTTGTAAGGAATTTATACTTAAAACCAGATCATTTTCGCCTGACCTACACGGCTAAAACGTTGCAAAACAAACTTGAAGCATGCAGGGCGATTCCAGGGTGCAGAAAGCTGAAGCAGAGACAACCGCAGCAGGAAGTTGGTTATCGACAGTGTGGACAGACAGCAGCCCAACTCGGAAAACTAGAAGGACGCACTTTACGATATGAGCCAGTTAAAAAGGTCAGCATTACAAAATAACCTGAGAAGTCACGCCATGCAACACAAAGATAAAATCTCCCTGAGTTTCTGAAATACTGTGAAGATGTGCACTTTGAGTTAGGGCTCTCTGGAGATACAGACTATAGAGCAAAGTTCAACTACACTCTTGCAAACGCATCTTATCGGCCATAACCAGCATTTCATCACCTGTGCACTCCTTGTACTTCCCATATACATTTGCATTGCGCATTTGCATTTTTTTTTTTTTAAGGGATAAGATCAGAGCAGCTGAGGCGACGTCAATGAACCAGCCTCTCTGAAGACACTCCCTACTCGCTGGCCCCGAGGACTCCGATGGTCTCGAGGTGGCGGCGGCCGAGTGGCTTACCTGGGTCTTGGAGTCGGGGCGCAGCCAGGGCAGGGTGCCATTACGGCGCAGCTCTGCCATCTTGGCGTTCAGCTTGTGGGCAAGAACGATGGTCAGGGGCATGCACTCCTCGGTCTCGTCAGTGGCATAGCCAAACATCAGACCCTGCAGGTGGGCGGGAGAGAGGAAGGCACAGGCGGCACCTTTGAGCGTCCGATCTTGGCACAGGACTGGCGGATTCGCGACACATCAAAGCCCTGCTGCCTCTGGGCAAAATCGAACCGCTTTAAATTGCAAAGTGCAAATCCTTAGCGCTAGAACTAAAGTGGGATGCAGGGCGGGTCCCCACCTGGTCCCCAGCTCCCACGTCCTCCTCGTTGCGGTCCAGGTGCACGCCCTGGGCAATGTCAGGAGACTGCTGCTCCAGGGCCACCAGCACATTGCAGGTCTTGTAGTCAAAACCTAGGGGGAGAAATACAAGGACTGTCAGATGAGGTGCGGTGGCTAAGGATCTGCACCTGTGGCTGGAGGGTTGCCGGTTCGTACCCTGCAGCCGGCAGAGGAACCCTACTCTGTTGGGCCCATGAGCAAGGCCCTTAACCCCAACTGCTCCAGGGGCGCCGTATAAATGGCTGTCCCTGCTCTCTGACCCCAAGCTTCTCTCCCCATCTGTGCATGTCATGGAGAGGAAGCTGGGGTATGCAAGAAGAATTTCCTGCATTAGGAATTTGTATATGGCCAATAAAGTGATCTGATCTTATGAGTTTGCACGGCAGACTGCATTCTTTCCATTGCTGCACGCTCTCAGAAACCCAGGCAAGCCGTGCTGGGGCCAGTCGAGCTCGGCGTGCCTGCATCGCCACCATCAAACAAAGACTTGAGCCCAGGAGGCATGGGGTGCCAAAGCTCACTGTCGGAGCGCCAGCCTTGAGCGCAGCACTCACCTTTGGAGGAATCGTCGTAGCCAATGTGCTTAATGGTTTCCCGCACGACCTTCTGATAGTCCACGTTGGCCCTGGATGTGATCTCTCCAGCCAAAAGGATCATGCCAGTCTTCGCCACCGTTTCTGCAGCGAGAACAGAATGTCGACAGGCATCAGGAGCTGAAGCGGCTTAGGGGCTGCCGAACCGAACTAATGGCCGCCTTGCAAAGCGAAAAGGCAAAGGGTAAATGAAACCCGATTACCGCAGTGGGGAAATGAGGCTCCACAGAGACCAGAGTCAACAGGCACAGAAAGGAAACAGCTGGCCTGAAGCCTGAAGATAAGAGCAACAATAGTTACCGCAGGCGACTTTGGCATCCGGGTCCTGCTTGAGATGGGCGTCCAAAACGGCATCGCTGATCTGGTCGCAGATCTTGTCTGTGGAACGAGACACACCCTGCTCAGTTTCTGCAGTTGCAATTGTTATTGTTTTTTTTTTACACTGACAGAGAGGGGGGGGGGGCTTGAATGCAGAGGCCCTGGGGCATAGCGGGTGTAGTGGGGGGGGGGTCCTATTCCAAACAGCTGCAGTGCAAGCAAGTGCTGCAAGGGGCACTTCTGCAGCAAGAGCAGAGCGCCTCGTGACTGTCAGGCCTGAGAAGAGCGCGCCACAGCCCCGCCCACGAACGCCAGCGATTGGCTGGAGGATCACGGTATACATAAATATCGCGCAAGTCCGCCCCGGTCTGTCTCTACGCTCGTTATGAACTGAACTGCTACTATTGGCTTCCCCGAACGCTAATCGAACAAGGGTGATAAAACGTCACCGTCACCACCCCGCCCCTCTCCCCTCAAGGTATCGCCCCACGCCCCTCTGCCGTTACACGTTCCAAAGGACATTTCGCAGAAACGCTGCCTTTGCTTGAAATCCGAAAAGTCAACACGCACTGAAGTACCACCGACACGTACGCGCTAAAAAAAAAAAAAAAACCTTTTCAGCAACCCCAGGCCTTTCAGACGGGACACACGCCGCCTCCACGTCTCTCACACGGGCGCCAGGCTCCAGAGCGGCGCTCTCCGACCCGGAGGAAGCCACGATCGCGCTGCCCAGTCTCCCCCCACTACACGCGCCCCTGCGCGGCCTGTCCCCGCACGGGCTCACGCCGGAGACCGGCGCACGACGTGACACCGGCGGCCCCCGCCCTCCCCTGAAGAGAGGCTCTGCCGCAACACGAGAGGCGGCCATGATGACCGACTGTTCCCGGGCTGAAGCCGACCCAGACGGCAGACGGGAATTCGGGGGTGCCCTCTCTCGTTTCGGGCTCGGTCGGCTCCGAAAAACGGCATTCCATCTTAAGGAATAATGCTAGCGGGGTTCTGAGAGGGTTCTGAGTGTTTAAGTCCAATTAAGCACAGGAGGTCCGCCATAATCCCCATTGTTCGCTAGCCCTGGATGCTGCGGACTTTGAGTTGCGGTCTGTCGGCACTTCCTCAATAAGTAAAATAAGTAAATAAAAGAAAAGAAAGTCATCTTTTTTGTTTAAAATAGCCTCATTTCTAACCCTGTACATGAGCCTGATGGAGGGAGGGGGGGATCATCACTGGCAAATCTCTACCGTTTCAGAGGCAACGCGGTCGCGCGCGCATTTACAGAGGAAGACTCGCGCCCGCACCTCGTGGCCCCTTTTCGTCGGCTCTGACATTCACGCGCTACAGCGGAAATCTACCTCTGCTCGTGCCCGACAGTGCGCCCAGACTTAAAGGGGCTCCCGTGTGAGACTTGTGGAAGAAATTCAATTTTTTTAAGAAAAAACACAACATAATACTTAAAATACCCAATACAAGAAGATATTATACAACCAAATACGGGCGTATAGTTATTTACGTTAAGTGGTGAGGATGAGAAGCCACCACGCGTGGCCGGCTTGCCGAGCGTATGATGTAATCTGGCAATACCGGCTAATACAGGACAGAAACGTGCCCAATCAATGTCACGGTCACGGCCGCTCAAAGACTGCTCCTATTTACACAAGACCAACAGGACCAAGGTCTACCGGATATTTTTAAACAATTTAACTCGTGACGTATATCGCCCGCACAAGCCATTGTCTGGAAGCGCCCGAATATCGACATACACATACGACACACAGACAAGGGCAGCCCCGCTTAGCTGGCTGCAGAGAAACACAGAAACGAACCTGGGTGACCTTCCCCGACAGACTCCGAAGTGAAGAGAAAGCAGTCTTCCTCGATCAGGGAGCTGTGGAAGTCGTTGATTTGCCCATTCATCATCTTCAAAACTGGATTTAAAGCTTACCAATATAAACTCTGCTTTAAGAACTCTAAGGTTTATCTAATGATGTATTAGGTACGTAGGGTTTTTGGGGACTTTTTTTCTCTTTTGTTTTTACTGCCCTCTGTAACAAGCAAGCTGACCGGATCCTCTTGGCTGAATGTGCCGGCAAACTGCTGCACAGCAGCTTTTATCCGCCTTAGAAGGGGCTCTGACGTCACGGAGGCGCGCCCTCGAGCCCTCCTCTTTCGTTTCTTTTCGGCTTTAGCGGGCGGAACCATTTCGGACCGAATGGGTGGAAACGTATATTATGTGAAAGATTGCAGGCGTTGTTTGCTAAAGTCTACGTGGTAACAGCTCCTTCAGCTGACACGAAAATCCGTGGTAATGTTAATTACGCGTCGCCGTCCGCGTCGTCTCCAAGCTTCGTATCCAACAGAGGCACGAAGGCGAATCTTTCTGTCCTTCGCTATAAAATCGACTCTTCTCAGACGCTGAGTCAATTGGAGTCGAGAAGATTGGCGAGCGAAGATGTTCGGGTGCTGTGGTTCTGTGCAGAATTGAAAGATGTGTAGTTAGCCAGACAGCTGCACTTAATAAAAGCAAAAATCCATAGCAACACATGGCTTCACCAGGGCCGGTGTAGCTGAAATGTGTTTTTGACATGTTTTGACGTTATTCATTTATATTTAGTAAATCACTCGGGCTATATTTGTGTACAACTAAGTACCCTTGAATCCTCAAAATTCAGTAACGCTGGCTATGCTTCATTCAGCACAATTTAGAAAATAAAATGTTCATTGTGTATGAATTACTTTCAAATACATTATAATTGTTGTTGAGGTGATGGTGGTTGTTATTGGTCTATTAGAATATATTTTCTTTGTATTTATGTCGCAACTATTTGTGCAACAATAATCTTCAAACTGGCGCAAACCGATGTCGGACAATCAATGCGGAGAATGACTGGGTATGGATTGGGTGATGTGATTCGTGAATGAATCGTCTTTTCTATCCTACCGACTTTGGATATGTTCTAAGGACATTGAACCCCACATGTAGGCCAGGTTAATTGGCTTCTCTCGCTGTTATCGAGCGTGCATTCTGTCCTGTGTTGGACTGACGTCCTGTGTTCCGGGGGACCGCTAACACATGCAGTATAAACGGCTTTCTGGGTGGGTAAACGAGTTCCATATATACAAATATACTGCAGTCAAATATGTCTGACAATTTCATTTTAGACACGCTCAAATAATATGTTCCGCATGTAAACAGATCCAGTGCTTTTCACATGCCGTTACAATATGATGGTTAGTTAAATCACATGATTAACCATTTTTAATAAAAAAATAACATACCTGACATACAGATACCAGTTAAACCACATTTTTAATAGGTGCCTCTGCGCTTCTGTGCAAATTATACAACCCACTCCTGCCTTCCTGATGCTAAGGGTTCTTTCAGCGAACATTGTTTTCACTGCAGATGAAATGCAATTTCACAGCACTGTGCCAAGTGTGAGTTTGAGATTGTATGTTGTTCACACGGAGCTGTATGTGTGACCCAGTGCTGCATTAGGAATCAGTGTCCTCCTGGAAATCAGACAATGCTTCACGTGTTTCAACACCAGCAGCACGCTACTTCCATGATCTAATAGACCCCTGAGGAAAGCCCGTGGCCAGGTTGCACAAGCTCACTGTTAGACCTGCTGGTTCCCCTGCCTGGGACACAGGTCCATTATTGAATTACACCAGGTCTGTATGATATCAGCTTCCCCTGTTCAGCCCAAACAGGGACCAAGAGCAGGAACAAAGACAAACGAACGTTCATGGAAATTGGACTTCAATTGAATTAAAAGAAACAAAGCAAACAATTTTCCATCGCAGAGCTTATCAGTGACCATTAGCTGGTCTTCCAGCAAGATAACACGCGGCCTCGTGGCTGTTTCGAGAAGTCATTTTGACCTGAGCTGGAAAAAAACTCACAATAATAAAAGAAATATAATTATCTGAATTCCACGAATCCTTATAACGATAGCATCGAACACTCAGCTAAATGAAATGAAAAACAGTTCTCTCTACACAGATGCCTCTAATGCGCAGCTCCTGTTTAGAATGGAGTGTTTTACTTAAAGCAGAAAAACACTAGCAGTTAACTTAATAAAGAAACAAAAGATGGCAAAAGTCCTGATATTTATTAAATGTGAAAAAGAATTGTTGGATTCAGTTTTCCTTGTGGGCTGACCGTCCATATATTTATTTCTCTATGCTGTGGGCAGTTTGCCTACAGAGTAAATAAGGACCAGCATCTGTTAGAAGGTCAACGGTATGATCCTAATTTCTCACAGGTCCTGCTACTGTAGTTCATCAGTACCTTGCGCAAAGTGCTTTCAAAACACATAATGCTTTCATATGGCAGTGCTGTGTATGTCCAGAGTGGTACTTTAAACTCAGCAGATGGATTTTGAGTAACTGTTACGATGCGTGGTTCAGGACCCTATGCAGACGGTATAATCCGGAAGTAAGTGGGAAAAGGACAACGGGGAGGAGACAAGGATCAGGGCAGGTTGATGAACAGGGAGGGCGTGATGACGGTGAACTGGTGCTCGGGGGGGCGTGGCCATGGCGAACTAGTCCAAGGGAGTCCAGGGGGAAGTCCGGGGCGAAGTCCAAGGTCCTAATCCAAGTCATCCATCCGCGACGAAAACAAGATGCAGTTGAAAGCCTGGACGGGATCCGGTACGGGGACAGGGAATAAAAACGGGATGACGAGGCTAGGCGCTCCGAGCCCCGGACTCGGCAGTGTCAGGATGCCGATAGGAGGCCTATGCCCTCAAGCTTAGGGCAACTTGGTGGTGGGCGGGGCCTCCGGGCGTCCGTCTTCCAATGCATGGCCAGGAGTAGCGAGAGCTCCCATCTTGAATAAGGAGGGGCAGGAATGGAGGCAGGTGCACATAATCAAAAAATGTGAAAGAGCCGGAGCGCCCTTAAGAGGAGGGATTCCGATCGGGACAGTAACGCCTGCATTGAGGTCTTGCCCACGTTCTGGACACGGTGTTGAATTTATGGAGTTGAACCTGGGGAGGCATTTCAACGCTTCTCCAACGGGCACAGGATTGCTGTCCATGATTCATCTGACTTTAAGCTTTAAAATGTACCTCAGGGTCTATATTTTCCAGAACCCTTATAATGTGGCTAATAACAAAGTGCTTTACATTAGGAATAATTTCTAGCACATATGCTTCAAAATAGGCGACATTTTCAAACATATGTGCTAGACGTTATTCCTGATGTATTCCGTATAGTAACCAGTTGCTCTCGGATGTTTCATCAGACTACTTTAGTGCAAGCAGAAGGCATTTCTGTCTCCTTTTTAAGCTTTCCTCAGTGCCCTTTACTTGAAGCAGCACCAGGAAAGGAGATTCTTTGTTGATGAGCTCTGCTGCAGTACATCACAGGGCCAGACCTTCCTCTCCCTCCTCTCTGTCTGGGATTGCTGTGTGACCTCCTTCACCCCCAGGCCCAGCTGACTCCTCTGGCCCGCCGCCAGCAGGGATTCTGCGCTGATGCGCCGACATCAGCCTCTGCACCGATTCTGCAGTCTCCATGGCTACAGTACCTGGCCTGATGGGCAAAATCGCGTCTCTGCTTGTTCTCAGCCAATGAAAATGGGCTTTTTTTCATCTTGGAGACAGAGAAGCTGGTCAAGGACGTTCACTATGGGAGTTCTGCACTCTGTACTGTAAGGTGTCACTGAAAACACTCATGTTATTTTTTAAATCTTTTTAACTGTTATTTTTTCTTGTACCCATGAAAGGGTGTTGGTATGTTCCTGTGTGATCTGAAGCATCCCCAAAGCAATACATCCCAGGCAGACACGTATAATCTAACCCTGTAATCTAGCCTGCCCCATTACTCTTAACCTGTCCCTTTGCCCCATCCCCTGGCTTCTTATTGCCCCAAACCCAGGGCTCTAACAGCCCACTGTTCTGCTCTGAGTGAGAGGGCTGTGCTCCATGTCCGACTGCCCTCTGGAAGACTGCACCACGTAGGACTGTGCGTAACTTTAGTGAAGGACAGTTTGTTTCAGTATTGCTTCTCATTCGAAACAGACCAAGACAAAGACCAAGTCCATTATCCTGGTTACTGTGGTGTTAAGCAGCCTGTTGACATGTGACACCAGGACACAGGGATCAACCCCCTTTTATACAGCTGAAGCACTTCACTGTGGATGAGAATGGAGCTGAAGGGTTACATTTAGAAATGGAAAAGTCTGAGATACAGTTAAAGAAAGGGGTCTTGGATCAGTCAGGATCCAGTGGCAATCAGGCTGTAGCAAAATCTCCTCTAAACCGATCAGCCTCATTGCACCAATGAGGTAATAATTGAACAGAGATAATCTTACATTGTCCACGTCTTAAATTAATTACTTTATTGGGGCTGCAGGAGTTCAAGGTTCAGGCCAAGTTACAGGGGAGCAAAAGCTTTTCATCTGAATAGGAAATACTGTATATCTGTCTCTATTACCTTATTGAAGCCAGTAGCCTCTCAAGCCAGTCATTGCAGAGACACAATGAGCAAACTGTTTCTGACAGACCTGGAGATCTTGTTGTGAGAAATGGGAGTGTTTACAGAAACATGAGGTTTAATGAGGTTTAATCAAAGACTTTGACCTGGAGTCACTGTGCCGCTTCTTGCAGATTTTTAAATCACAAAAGAAACAGTGGTTGTGGCATTACCTTCCCACTGACATTTACAACCATAGCTCCAAATAAGAACATAAAGAAGTTTACAAACATCATAAAGCCATTCAGGCTGAGTAGTTTGTTTGCTTGGTGGAGTCTATTTGAACTGGGGATTTCATCCAGCTTTTTGATAGAAGAGAAAACATAATGAATAAGTACTGAGATTAAAAAAAAAACATTTGTTTTGTTAATTTACTGATGTCTTCCTTTAATCTCAGCTGGAATTGGTTTGTTTGTGTAAGAAGCACAAGCCAATACAAGCCAATGGTGTAAAAAGCACATATTCATCCTCGTGGACTGACAAGTTAAAAACTGCACTGTCTTTGAGAAGGAAAGCATTCAGTCACAATATTCTCATCGAGGAAGGAGGGCCTGTTGTTGATATTCATGCAAATCCAACCAGTTTCTATAGACTGAGAAATAATTTAAA